TTTCACTTATCGGGCGGAGATTTTCGATCCAAACTGTTGGTGTGAAGTTTTAAAACTGTAGCGATAGCTTTCTTAAAGCGAACCAGTTTACAAATAGCTTGAATCTGGTCCTCAGACAGTTTCACACCAGTTCTCATCTTCAGGAATGTGGAAGGACAAAAGCGACCCTGATGCTCGTCAGCAGGGAGGATCGGGCGAATGTTAAATATAGTTTACTAAAATAATCTTTCTTCATCAAACCCTGTTTTCTTCTGACGTCCAGTTCAGTAAAAGGCAAAAAACAGACCTTGAATGTGATTCACAGGTGAGAAATAAAGAGCCGCGCTCTGTGAGTTTACGCTCGTTTTAGAAGCGTCTGCAGCTCCAAATAGCAGCAAGACGCCCCTGCTGCTGTCACACTTTTGAGTGTCAGCGTCCACAAATGATGCAACGCAGCATCAGTGGTTTGCGTGCAGAACACGCACGTTCAGCTGTCATGTGGTGACACGTTTTATCAAAGTGTAACAGGAGGACGGTGAGAGACGCTGGTGAGCCCGGATCCGTCCGCTCTGAAGCGTTTCAGCTGACAGCTGAGAAGGAGAAGACGGGACACTTGTGTTTGTTTCATGTGAGAACATTTGGACTAGAGACATGTGCGGAGCAGAACCTGGTGAGAGGAAGTCACCATCCTCATCCTCACAGCCGACTAACCTGCTTCAGTTTGGATTTTTAGGAACAGACGGTGAAACAGCCGTGCAGCCATGTTTGAGGGAAGGTCAACCTTGTAAAAACAGACTTCTACTCACGGAGCACACCTTTGTTTATTTCTGACAAGCATCACTTCCTCTGAACGGCACCCGTTTGTATTTTTAAACTCGCAGCGTCTGCAGTCTCAGTTTAGCATGTCTGACGCCCGTAAGGATAAAGATAAATAGTTTCTGTTTCAGGCGTTTTAGTTTGGGCTCAAACGGATTTAGGTTAGAGCTGCAGCCCAACCATGAGGAGCCTCATGACGAATGGTGGAGATCCCCAAGGTAACAGGAAGTGGTTAGCTCTACAAACAGTTAGCTTTAACAAATGACTTCTGTTCCACTGAAAACTCATGCCTTTACATGGTTTTCTGTTGCATAATTTCATTTTATGACTGGGAAAGCACTTAAAATTTAAAATCTGTAAATGTCCATCACAACTAGGAGAACACTAAATTGAATCTGTCATTTAAAGCAACAAGCACGGGCAATATTCATCATCTCTGATCAATAAAATTGTGAATACTGTAGAAACAAAGAGGGTTTGGACTTTAAATATTTTAAAAACATGCCTACAATCTAAGTTTTAATGTATAAAAACAAGTAATGTGTGGTTATAGCTTATGAGGCTTTGAGATGTTTCGTCTCAAATTTTTTTTTTATTGCAAGAAAAAGCCTGAAATAAAGAATGTATTCAAATGATATAAATGTCTTTTTGCAAAAGTGGCACCGTAAGTTTAAATAAAAGGAGAACAGTGTTCATTTGTGTTTGCATGAATGAAAATCAATGCATGAACCTGACTAAAAGTAACATGGGTCTTTCTTTACCAAAGACGTCCCAAAGCTAGAGAGTCATCGTCACTCCAATAAAGACCTTTTGGTATTTCGGCTGCAGCTCGCTCCTTTACATGAGACGCTATATTGTATTGGTGGCTTTCTAAAGGCCATGACTAAATAGATCTGAGCCTCCAACGTGGCCCTGGGTTCTCATCTCTTTGCGACTGAAGCTCATGTACCTCTGAAAGGTCACCTCAGCTTCTTGTTTACCTGTTTTTGTTGCTTTGCAATCACAATGCATCCCGTAAATGGTGATTCCAAATGGGTAACTTCATGATTTTGGTATCATCGTTGCAATAAACATATTCTGAACTGTCAAATAGCACCCAACGACTGCTATGCTCATTTCTGCACTTTCTACAGTTTTAGAAATATGCTTGCCCACCACATTTGTCCTTTTCAGAGAAAAATTTAAAAAGCATCTATTTTGAGTTTCTGGGGCTTTTGAGTCCATGTTTCTTGATGCCATCCATTAAAATGAGTCCATGAGAGACACTGTCTCATCACTGACGGCTCTCGCCATGGAGCCTTGTGGGGGATTCGCTTCAGAAGGCTGCAAAGATCAGAACACTATGCATCAAGTCTGCAAGAATCCTGTATCCAGTTTCTGCAGAACTTTTTCAAATCTAATGCGACAAATCAGAAACATGGAGCATTAAAACTGGCTTTGCTAAACTTGTGAGGAGACTTGGTGGTGTTTCTTCTTTGTGTAGCTGAGATGGTCCCTACAGTTAGTTCATAATATTTATGTTCTTATTTTTTACTAATTTAATTGTTTGTTAGCCCTGCAGCTATTGTAGCCTGATAGTTATTTTGGTTAAAAATAAATAAATAAATAAATAAATAAATACAATGATTGAAATACATCTGTCTTCGGGGGCAGTTCCTGTGGAGTTGCAGACCGGGGTGGTGGTCCCCATCTTTTAGAAGGGTGACCTGAGGGTGTGTTCCAACTATAGGGGGATCACACTCCTCAGCCTCCCTGGAAAGGTCTACTCCAAGGTACTGGAGAGGAGGGTCCGATCGATAGTTGAATCTCAGATTGAGGAGGAGCAATGTGGTTGTCGTCCTGGCTGTGGAACTGTGGACCAGCTCTATACCCTTGCAAGGGTGATGGAGGGGGCATGGGAGTTTGCCCAACCAATCCACATGTGTTTTGTGGATTTGGAGAAGGCTTATGACCGTGTCCCCAGGGACACCCTGTGGGGGACGCTCCAGGAGTATGGGGTGGGTGGCTTTCTGTTAAGGGCCATTCAGTCCCTTTACCAGAGGAGCGTGAGTTTGGTCCGCATAGCCGGTAGTAAGTCGAACCCTTACCCGGTGAGGGTTGGACTCCGCCAGGGCTGCCCTTTGTCACCGGTTCTGTTCATTACCTTTATGGACAGAACTTCTAGGCGCAGCCGTGGTGTGGAGTGTGTTGAGTTTGGTGGCAGGAGAACCACGTCTGCTTTTTGCGGATGATGTGGTCCTCCTAACTTCATCCAGCTCTGACCTTCAGCTCTTGCTGGGTAGGTTCGCGGCCAAGTGTGAAGCGGCTGGGATGAGGATCAGCACCTCCAAATCTGAGACCGTGGTCCTCGACCAGAAAAGGGTGGCTTGCCAACTCCGGGTCGGGGGAGAGGTCCAACCTCAAGTGGAGGAGTTTAAGTATCTCGGGGTCTTGTTCAAGAGTGAGGGTAGGAGGGATCGGGAGATCGACAGGCGGATTGGTTCGGCGTCTGCAGTGATGCGGACGCTGAGCCAATCTGTCGTGGTGAAGAGGGAGCTGAGCCAGAGAGCCAGCCTCTCGATTTACCGGTCGGTCTACGTCCCAATCCTCACCTATGGTCATGAGCTTTGGGTAATGACCGAAAGAACGAGATCGCGGATACAAGCGGCCGAAATGAGTTTCCTCCGTGGGGTGGCCGGGCTCAGCCTTAGAGATAGGCTGAGGAGCTCGGACACTCGGGAGGGACTCGGAGTAGAACCGCTGCTCCTCCGGATCGAAAGGAGCCAGTTGAGGTGGTTTGGGCATCTGGTCAGGATGCCTCCTGGACGCCTCCCTGGGGAGGTGTTTCGGGCATGTCCTGCCGGCAGGAGGCCCCCGGGTCGACCCAGGACACGTTGGAGAGGTTACATCTCCAATCTGGTCCGGGAACGCCTTGGGGTCCTGCCGGAGGAGCTGGTGGAGGTGGCCGGGGAGAGGACGGTCTGGAGCTCCCTAGTTGGGATGCTGCCCCTACGACCCGGACCCGGATAAGCAGAGGAAGACGACGATGACAATGATTGTTGTTTTGGGGTAAAATTAATCAGAAAAGGGTGTCATGTGATTGCTGACCTAGTGATCTATGATCAATTATTCGTGTCTTGGAGATTTAAGTCACAAAATGATGCAGTAGAAATGGTTTTACCTTTAAAACGCATAATCCTTATTTTTCTGGCTGTGATTGTGTTTTGTCTTTAGGCTATTACACTCTCTAGTGCCCAATGGGGCGTCTACATATTCATGTCTATGGTGGTAGCAACATGCCTTTCTCACTAGAACGCCCCTCACTATATCGTGGGCTGTCACCACAGTAGATGATGTGCCTAAATGTTAAGCACATATATTTTGTGCCTGCAGATGTTTGTTCAACAATGGGTTTCATGTATGTAATTATCAGGCCGTCTTATGGAACGGTCTTTGATGATTTATTCTCTCGGTGCATCTATTTTTTACCTTCACACACGCCATTTACGATAATAAACACAGGACTACCTTAGAGCTGATGTCCTTCCTTCTCATTCCGAAGACAACCCTGCAGGCTTTGCATGAGTAAAAATACTGGTGTGGAAAAGAAATAGATGATTGAAATGGATTTTTAAATTTTAAGTGTTTTAGAAATGAATGGTACAAACGTCTGGTGGAATTAAAAGCTCTCTGGATGTATCCGAGTGTGACCGTCGGAGTCAGCCGGGTGTTTTGAGACGTTCACACAAGGCGGCTGGGTCTAACACCGTGACGGGTGGGATCATTTTCTACTCTGCTATTTTTTTTTTTTTTCCTGTCTGGCCAAAACTGTGTAGACTGAGTGAAGGAAGGAAGGAAGGAAGTCAAACAAAAGGATTAAAGCACATTCAGCGGTAAAGAAAGAGTGGGCGGTATAAATACACAAGGAAAACAAACCAGAAGGAGTTATTTCAATCCCACCTCTTCTGTGATGCTGTATTGTTCCCAGAGAGAACACGACCGTTGTTTCGTTCACATAGGCAGTGCTTTCTCTAAGATCACTTTCTCCTGGCGTGACGCTACCCATGCATGGGATGCTTATCATGCCTAATAATAATAATAATAATAATAATAATAATAAGGATGAATTAACCGTGTTTGTAGATGAAATTATGTCCTTGTGAATTCATCAGTGTTTATGCAGACACAAAACACGGAGCTTAATATGTTTTCTGTTGTCGTTCCAGGTCCCCTTTCTCTGAGGTAACATGGACAAAGTGGTCATCTGTCTCCTGCTTCTGGGAACGGCACTTACAATGGTCCATGCATGTCCCAAATACTGTGTCTGCCAGAACCTCTCAGAGTCTCTGGGGACTCTGTGCCCGTCCAAGGGTCTACTCTTCGTTCCACCGGACATCGATCGTCGGACCGTAGAGCTCAGACTGGGCGGCAACTTTATCCTGAAGATCACCACTCAGGATTTTGCCAACATGACGGGTCTGGTGGACCTCACGTTGTCCCGAAACACCATCGGCAGCATCCAGCCGTTCTCTTTTATTGACCTGGAGACGCTGAGATCCCTGCACTTGGATAGTAACCGGTTGACTGAACTGGGAACGGACGACCTCCGAGGACTGATCAACCTGCAGCACCTGATCCTCAACAATAATCAGCTGAATGAAATCTCAAATGCAGCTTTTGATGACCTTTTTTTGACGCTGGAAGATTTGGATTTGTCTTACAATAACTTGCGCAGTGTGCCTTGGGAAGCCATCCGCAAGATGGTGAACCTGCATCAGATGAGTCTGGACCATAATCTCATCTCGTTCATTGCTGAGGGAACTTTTACAGACCTTGAAAAACTAGCTCGCTTGGACCTGACCTCCAACCGCCTCCAGAAGCTCCCTCCAGATCCCATTTTTGCACGCTCCCAAAGCAGTGAGATCATGAGCACTCCTTATGCACCTCCGCTTTCTCTAAGCTTTGGTGGAAATCCGTTGCACTGCAACTGTGAGGTGCTCTGGCTACGACGGCTGGACCGAGAGGATGATATGGAAACCTGTGCTTCTCCAACTAGTCTAAAGGGGCGTTACTTTTGGTCTGTTCGAGAGGAGGAGTTTGTCTGCGAGCCCCCTTTGATCACTCAGCATACACACAAACTGCTGGTGCTGGAGGGCCAAACGGCTAGCTTGCGCTGCAAAGCTGTTGGCGATCCAATGCCAACTGTGCATTGGGTGGCTCCAGATGACCGTTTGATCAGCAACTCCTCGCGGGCCACTGTGTATGAAAATGGCACCTTGGACATAGCAGTCACCACATCCAAGGACTACGGCATCTTTACTTGTATCGCGGCTAATGCTGCAGGGGAATCCACAGCATCTATTGAGCTGTCGATCTTTCATCTTCCTCACCTGACCAACGGTACAAATCGTACCATGCAATCCAAATCAGGACTCTCAGACATCACAAGCTCGACAAAGATGAGCAAAGGGGAGCCCAAACCTCCTCCGGAGAAGCTGGTGTCTGTGTCCGAGGTGACTGCCGTCTCCGCTCTGGTTAAGTGGACCGTCAGCAAATCAACTCCAAAGGTGAAAATGTTTCAGCTTCAGTACAACTGCTCTGATGATGAAGTCCTCATCTACAGGTAAGCATGATTAATGCGTCTCACTTAGGTTTTGAGTGAACCGAGAGGCTCTTAAACCTGTGAAAAGGATATTTCGCTTTAGCTGTTTTCTGAGTGGATTGCTAATTGTTTGCAGGGTGAACGTTCGAGCCTGTCGGATTCTCTCAAGATCAGCATCTGTCTTTCCTAATCCTTCTTGAGATTCCTTTTTTTTTTTATTTCTTTGACGTTTGACTGTGATGCCCGCTTGCACACTTTTGTCTTTTATAAAAGTAAAAACTTGAGAAATCCTCGCCCTGAACCATTAATTAGAAATCCAAGAAGAAAAGGGATTATAGACTTCATTTTCATGTATCCCTCTTAAGCCGCTCAAGTCCGTGGAAGCGTGGGCTTCGGCGACTGTAGCTGCAGATCTCCGGGCTCTGTGAAATCAATTTCCTATTTCAAATGAAACACGAGAATGAAGCAACAGTAAACCAAGATAATTGCTTGGAAATACAGAAAATAGCCTTGATGTTTAGGACAAAGTTACCAGGGGTGGAATAAATAAAGAAAGCAAACAGATCCATGTTTTTACCTCGAGTCCTGAATATGAATCCTTCATTTACATTTGTTCATCTATCAAAAGGCTGGTTTTCCAGTCGTTGTACCCCTGACATACGAGATGAGAAACTGAGAAGTTTTTGTCACACTCCCTAAACTCTGACAGTTGATGGGAGATTTCGGAGACAAACCTGTATCTGGTTATTTGTTCCCAACAGTCTTATTACCTGGGCTTTCTGAGAGCTGCTAAATGAAAAATGAACCGCTGGATCAGAGATTATAACGAGACTCTCTAATGAGGGCAGATATGACTTTGTCCAAACACAGTTGATGCATCCAACATCCGGGTAAACTCAATAAGAAGCTTCTTATCTGATTCCCTTGCACCCAAGCTCCCTGATGGGTTTCTGCGGCAGGCTGGAGAGGACTGTCCGAATCTTTAGAACCGTGTTTCTTTTCTGCCCAGTGACAACAAATTGGATGACTCATCCACATTTTGATTTACTAGAAACGACGCCCAAACGCTAAAGCGTTTCCCAGAGAAAATAATTTCTTAAAGGTAGGGATGGGTACCTTTGACATATGAATCAATCCGGTACTAATTCCCGGTACCTAGGAATCAATACCGGTACTTAACGGTACCAATTTTAGATACTTTTGAGTGTTTATTATTTTAATTCTCTTTTATAATGAAATATATATTTTTCTCAATATATAACAATATTTGATAAATATCACGATAAATAACATAAAACTGTTTGTATTTTAACATCGTCCTTGTAGTTTTATAAGCTGATAATTAAACTGAAGCAAACATCTTTACTGTGAACTAAATTTACTGAGTGATGTTTATTTGACATGGACACAGCAATTACATTGGAGGAACCAGATGCATTGTTTAGTGTGTTAGCACACGTGCTAATTTGCAACACTTGTCCATAGAACCTTTCTAAAAAGTAGACTACATTTAAATAAAATACAAAGAGATCAACAATAAATCAAAGAGAAAACAGATTAAAATTGCAAACAATTTTCAATAAAAAAGAATAAAAAGGATAAAACAAGGCAATTTGAGCAGCAATGCAAGACTTTAAAACTATTCAGGTAGACATTGTTGTTTAGACTTTAACCATTTTTTGAGTTCTTTGTTAAAAACTTTACTGTCCGTTTCTAGTTTTAGGTCAGTAGGTAGAGAGTTCCACAGATTGGCCCCCTTTACAGAAAGAGCAGACTGACCAAAAGAAGACTTGCACCGCGGGACGAGACAATCGCCGCAGGTGGAGGCTCGAGTGATCGTTCTATGAGAGCTCCGACGTCTGACGGCCACAGTAGAGAACAGTTTAGACAATTTATCATTTAGAATATTGAAAAAGAATCTTAGAGTGCTAAAATTAATAAAATTTTCAAAAGTGAGAAGATTATGTTTCCTTAAAATACGGCAATGATGCCATTTCAATGGTTTCTGGTCCATAATTTTTATTGCTTGCTTGTATATTAAGACTATAGGTTTTAGAGTGGTGGATGAAGCCTGTGACCATGATGTAATGCAGTATGATAAGTGGGGAAAGATCAGTGCATGCATGTACAGTTTAGCAGTTTGGTGTGACAGGTTCCTTCTGATAAAACGGAAGCAGTTTAAATTTGTTTTAACCTTATTACAGACGTGCTTAACCTGACTGTCAAATTTTAGGTGTTTGTCTAGGATGATACCAAGGTACTTCACATCACTCCTTACTTCAATGATTTCCTCTTTAATCCTAACCTGAAATAGTTCCTGATCAGGCCTGTTTCTCATGGAGAAGCATATGGACACAGTTTTTTTAACATTAAGAGTTAGGTGGGATGACTCTAGCCATTCTGAGATGTCTGATAAAGCCTGCGTCAGGCGCTCTCCTGCCAGGCCAGGTGTTTTTGTGGACACATAAATGACGGTGTCATCAGCATACATCTGGCAGTTGACGCCTGAGCAGCTCATCGGAAGGTCATTAATGTACATTGTAAACAGCAATGGACCAAGCACGGATCCTTGTGGTACACCCATGTTGTTTGCAAGCAAACTTGACTTGACCTCATTAACCCTGACACACTGCTGTCTACCCTCCAGGTATGAACTGAACCATTTCAAAGCTTCAGGTGATATTTTAAATTGCATTAGTTTATTAAGTAAGATGCTATGGTTTACTGTGTCAAAAGCCTTTTTTAGATCCAGAAACACTGCCCCTACAACACATCCTTTATCCAGAGAAGTTTTGATCTTTTCAAGCAGATAACAATTTGCAGATTCTGTTGAGTATTTCTGTCTAAAGCCAAACTGCTGTGAATAAAGCAGTTGGTTGGACTCTAAGTGATCCATTAGTTGCTCAGCTACAATCTTTTCTAGGATTTTTGAGACTATCGGGAGGATGGCAATAGGCCTGTAGTTACTTGCTAAGTCCTTTTCTCCCGATTTGTAGACTGGAGCAATTATTGCAGTTTTCCAGCTTTCTGGGAAACTCTTTGTTTGAATTGATAAGTTTACTAAATATGTGATTGGCTCCAACATATAACTGTGATGTTTCTTAATAAATGTAGTATTTAAGTTATGGATATCCTTTGCCATGGACATCCGCATGTTTGCAATCACTTTTTTAACTTTTCCTGGGAAACTTCTTTTATATAGAAGGAGTTGGTGTGATCCTTATCACATTTGTTACAGGGTGGGTCAGTTGATTTAAAACGACTGGCTAAATCATTCACAGACTCAATAAAAAAATTGTTGAAACCATTTGCAATTGACTCATTACTATTAATGAGTTCATCACATATTTTAAGGCTATTTATTTTTGGGTGCTTTTGCTTGCTAGACTTGGTTAGTCTGTTTATATGTTGCCACAGTTTAGAACTGTTGCCATTTGCCTCATCAATCAGGTTATTAAAATAATTAGTCTTTGCTTTCCGCAGCTCAGACACTACTTTATTTCTTAGTCCAGTGTAAATTAAATGGTCAGTATTGGTTTTAGTCCTTAAGGATCTTTTCAGAACAAAATCTCGCTCTTTGATCAGCTGACTGATATCACTGTTGAACCAAGGAAGAGACTTTTTCTTAGGTTTTCTTTTCCAGGTTCTTGTGTGCTTACCAATTATACCATGAAGGGTCAAGACAAAACTGCTTGCACTATGGTCTGGATCAGGCTCTCTGATTACCCTGTCCCAATTTGCTGTCTTTAGATCATGTTCAAAGTCAACCATTTTTGACATGGGAATTCCAGTAGTTAAAGTATAATTTTCTGTTTTGTTATGATAAACTAGACGCTTTTTTGTTAGCTTTCTTATGACCAGTATCATATTATGATCTGAAAGACCAGTAATAAGATTGTATATTTTTGTTACTCTCTCTGGCCTGTTTGTGAAAATCAGGTCTATAAGGGTTTCACTCTTTCTAGTAACTCGTGTAGGACTGTCAATCAGCTGTTTGTATTTAAATTTGTCCATAGTTAACTTTAGTTTTGCCTTAACCTTTTTATCTTTCCAATTGATGTTAAAGTCCCCAAACAGCATGCATTCATGAGAGTCATTGACAATAGACAAAATATTTCTCAGTTCATCATAGAAATTTACATCATGAGATGGAGGATTATAAAGCACGACTATACTAAATTTCATGGTTGGTGAGAGAATTACACACAATCCTAAGCACTCCAAATTTACACCCAAATCGAGCTCTGTAACATTAAACTGCTCCCTAATGTAAATTAAGACACCCCCTCCTCTTCCCTTGACCCTGTCTTTCCTGTAGCATGTGTATCTTGGTATATTATTTAGGTCAGTAGGAATATTACTAGTCAACCAAGTTTCAGACATACACAAGAAATCCAGATTAGACTCCATAAGCAAGTTCTGTATCTGATCTATTTTTGGTAGTATGCTTCTAACATTTATATGCCCTCCTAATATTCCATTGGGTTTTGTGTCCAAATTCCAGATGACTTGGGCATGAGTCACGGTTTGAAAAAGTCTTGACTGTCTCTGTTTCAAAGTTGCCCTGTTGGTTAAATGACTTTTGGCACTCATGTGAAACTGTCTGTGTAGACATTTACCAGCTGTTTCAGTCAGTTCCGTGTTTGTTAGTGGCCCAGCCAGGAGCGGTCTTGGTCCAGCCAGCTGTGGTGAAGGCCCAGCCAGCTGGGTTAAGGTCCCCAGCCGTGGTGAGGACCCTTCCAGCCGTGGTGTTGGTCCAGCCAGTAGTTGTGTTGGCCCAGGTTGCCGTGGTGGAGATGCAGCCTGCCATGATGGAAGCCCTGCCAGCCGGGGTGTTGATCCAGCCAGCCGTGGTGGAGGCCCAGGTTGCCATGGTGGAGACCCTGCCAGCAATGGTGGAGACCCAGCTAGCAGTGGTGGAGGCCGAGGTTGCAATAGTGGAGGCCCAGCCCGCCGTGGTGGAGGCCCAGTCAGCCGTGGTGTTGGTCCAGCCAGCCATGGTGTAGGTCTAGCCAGCCGTG